GATGATGATGATGTTCAATATGATGATGATGATGATGCTGATGATTATGATTATGCTTTTGATTATGCTAATGATGATGATGATGATGATGATGATGATGATGATTATGATGTTGATGCTGATGCTGATGATGCTGCTGATGATGATGATGCTCATGATGATGATGCTGATGATGATGATGATGACGACGATAGGTCTGATAATAACGATTATGCTGATGATGCTGATGATGATGATGGTGATGGTGGTGGTGATGCTGATGCTGCTGATGGTGATGTTGTTGTTGATGATGATGCTGATGATGATGATGACAATGATGATGATATTCAAGATGATGATGATGATGATGATGATGATGATGATGATGGTGATGTTGTTGTTGATGATGATGATGCTGATGATGATGATGATGATGATGATGATAATGCTGCTGATGTTGATGATGGTGATGGTGATGGTGATGGTGGTGGTGATGATGATGATGCTGATGATGATGATGATGCTGATGATGCTGCTGATGATGATGATGATGATGAGGAGGAGGAGGAGGAGGAGGAGGAGGAAGAGGAGGAAGAGGAGGAGAAGGGGGAGGAGAAAAAGGGCCACCCCATCCCCTCCCTGCGCGCCGCCAAGAAGCGGGCCTCCGAGGCCGACGTCGCGCTCCATCCCTGCACCTACGGCCGCCCCAGCTCCGCCCTGCCCCCCCGCGGCTGAGCCCCGCCCGAGGCTGCGCCACGCCACGACTGGCCACACGTGCTCCGAGCTGGCCCCCGGCGCTCGCGAGGCCCCGACGGGGCCCCCGAGGGGGGCCCCGACGGCCTGTGCTGCTCCCTCGGGCGACGGAGCCCCGCCCGAGGGCCGGCGGCCGGGGCCCGGCGAGGCTCGTCGGAGCGGGCACGGCCACGGCCCGCCTCGACCCCCCCCCCCCGCCGCCCTGCGCGCCGGAGGCGCGACCCGCAGCGCCTCGCTCCTCCCTCCTCCTCCCTTTTCCCTCTCCTCCTCCTCCTCCTCCTCCTCCTCCTCCTCCCTTCTCCCTCTCCTCCTCCTCCTCCTCCTCCTCCTCCTCCTCCTCCTCCTCCTCCTCCTACCTCCTCCTCCTCCTCCCTCCTCCTCCACTCCTCCTCCTCCTCCTCCTCCTCCTCCTCCTACCACCTCCCCTCCTCCTCCCCCTCCCTCCCTCATCTCCTCCTCCTCCTCCTCCGCCCTCCTCCTCCCCCTACTGCTCCTCCTCCTCCTATTCCTCCACCTAATCCTCCTCCCTATTCCTCCCCTCCTCCTCCACCTCCTTCTCCTCTTATTCCTCCTCCTCCTCCTCCTCCAACCTCCTCCACCCCTCCTCCTCCTCCTCCTCCTCCTCCTCCTCCTCCTCCCGCCTCCCGCCTCCTCCCGCCTCCTCCTCCTCCTCCCGCCTCGAGGAGGATGGCGCGGGGCTCCAGAGGGCCCCGGAGATCGAGGAAGAACAGAAGTCTTGTGAGCAGAAACCTGTGGCGCTCGGCGCGGATTCCTTGGGTTCGCGCGGGGGCCCCCTGGCGGCGCCTCCGGCGCCGCCCCTGGCTCGCTGCTCGGGATCCAGCGCAGATCCAAGAAGTCCACCGCGGAGCGCCAAAAGTGTATGCTGATAGGGTGTTTCTCCCTCTGAGGAGAAGCCCCCGGGCCCTCAGGCCCGAGGCTGCGCCGGGCAGGGAGCGGCACACGTGCCCCAAGGTGGCCCCCAAGGCGCTCGAGATGCCACGAGAGGGCCTCGGCAGGTCTCCCCCAGGGCGTGCAGTCGGACCGAGGTCGGTTCGGGGAGGGTGCTCTGCCGTTCTTCGTGCTCATTGGGCGCTCTCTTTGCATCCTGGGGAGGGTGCCCCCGGGTGTCCTGTGTGTGTGTGTGTGTTGGGCGACGGAGGGCATCGTGTGCCTGACGGGTGCTCTTCTGGCCCAGGTTCCGCCGCAGGCCTGCCATCCAGGGTTGATCAGAGACGGGCGCCGCGCCACACTGCCGGCTCCTCCAGGGGGGGGGGAAGCGAGGGAGGAGCGGGAGGTGGTGGAGAAGGAAGAGTCAAGCAGTGGCGAAGCGTCCTGGCTCACCTGTAGCCCTTCCAAGCAATGTTCTAAGAACCTTTCGTGGCTTCCAGGAAATGTTCTTAGAACCCTTCTGGTTGAGATTGCTTTGTTTAAACACATCGGGTTTATGTTCTAAGAACCTTGTTTTTGTTATTGAACATCGTTGGGTTCTAAGAACATTTCGTGGTATGACTATAGGAATGCCGGGACGGTCGGTCCCTGCTCAAAAGAGGGGAGTCACCACCCACCAAACCACCCCAACCCAACCCGAAGGCCCCGATTTGGCCGCCATTCCCAGTGTGTGGGGGGGGTGTCGGGGAGCATTGGAAAAAACACGTATAGGTAACCCGTGCCCCCCCAAGCTCGGAGTTCGGGTCTTTTGGTTAGGTTGGGGTGGCCTGGTAGGTGGTCAGGGACATAGGAAGGCCCACTCGTGGGAGGGGGGAGGAGCAGGATGCTGAGGGTCAGGAGTGGGAGCAGCAGGACGAGGAGGGTCAGGGCTCGAGAGCGACCGGCAGGAGGAGGAGGAGGAGGAGGAGGAGGAAGAGGAGGAGGGGGAGGAGGAGGAGGAGGAGGAGGAGGAGAAGAGGCAGGAGGAGGAGCAGCAGGAGGAGGAGGAGGAGGGGGAGGGGGAGGGAGGCGGCAGGGAGAGCCCGCCGCGCCCTCGGCAGAGGTGCGCGCCGCCGTCACGAAGGTGCTCACGGAGATGGGCCGGTCCGACGGCATCTACTTCGAGCAGAAGGCAGGGGGCCATCAGAAAGTGGGACCGGGCGGTGAACTGCGAAGGAGTGGGGAGCTCTTGAGCCGCGGCTTGGATGACTCCTATATCGGAGGACGTCTGCCTGCCTGCCTGCCGGTCCCAGTTCCAGTCTCGCTCGGAGGCTCAGCCGCGAGCGCTAAGTCGACTTAACGCTGGCGTTAAGTCGAGCAGAAGGGGCACGCCGAGCGGGGATTCTGCACGAACGAAATGGGTACGGAAAGAATGGGTACAATGCCCAACAGCGGATCTGGTTCATTTTGAACAGGGCTCGCTGTCCACGCCGCTGCGGCCTGTGTCCATTCGAGGCAGAAGGCCGCCTGCCCAACAGCGGCCGCTGTTGGTTTGGGACAACCTTTGTTGTTGGGCATTGTTTCATTCTTTCCGTACCCATTTCGGGCGACCAAAGGGATGGCGCCAGCGTTAAGTCGGCTTGTCGCTCTACAGGAGGAATGTGCAGAGAGAGTCAAAGCATAGTCTGGGGGCGCCTTTTTGTTGACTGTTTTGAGCATTCGGGGATCTGCTTCGATTTTTGCTTGAATTGTTCGTCCAAAATCTGCCCGTAGGGGGACATGCCCGACCTGACGCCAGCGCGGAGAGGGAGGAAGAGGGAGGAGGGGCAGCATGAGGGCCACCACCAGCACGACAACCACCGCGTTGCCCTGTCGGCGTTCTGTACCCGCGCTGTTGTTGAGTTGGGGCTGCAAGGCCTCAATACAGTCGAAGCCGAGTAAATATGGGCAAACTCTTGGGTCCGTCCTCAACCACTCTCGATGGCCGCGCCCCGCTCGAAGGAGCCTCGACATGGGCGTTCAAGGGGCTGTAATGTTGTTCGTGTTTGTTGGATGCTCTTGTGTTCAAGGGCATAACAAAAAACGCCCCTACCCTGGTTTACGAGGCGCTGTGCGCTGAAACTCCTGTGGGCTGACAGGGTAAACCCTGCGTGATGTGCCGCGTCCTGGCGGCTCTAGGCTTTCGGGGTTCCCAGGAGGTTTACAGACCACGCAGTTGTAACCCAGGGTAGGGCCGTTTTTTCACCCCTCAATTGTGCGGAGAGCAAACTTAAGTGAGATGGAGCCGTACAACCAGCAAAGCATGTGGCAGGCTCAAGGTGCAAGCGACGGCAGTGGCTCGCCGCCTGCTCCCGCTCACAGTCCGTTGGACGCCTCGCTCTTCTGCTGAGCTCGTCGCCCTCTCCCCCCTTCGGCTCTGTCGCCATACCCCACAAATGCTTCCTAGCTTCCACGCCAATCCTTGCACGAACGATCGACCGTAGGACAACGCGTTGATACTCCAGATTTCGTAATAGAGGGATGGGGGTCTCATTTCGGGGGAGGGGTCTCTTCCAGGCTATCTTAGAGGGCCTGGGGGGTCTGGGGACGATGTTTTGGAGGGTTCTCCCACGGGGGAGGTCTGAAATGGCTTGTCTTGGAGGGTCCAGACCCCCTCCCTTTTATTACGAAATCTGGAGTAAACACTTGCAGCGCCTGCATGTGATGTTTGCGCCCTGCAGAGGAACATGCAAGTCAACAATCTCCTCCTCGCGCAGGGCACGACGCCTGGCCATGCCCGTGTGGGCCACCGCGCCAATCCTTCTATGGGAGCGGGACGCAGTGGGGCACACGGGCTGGCTGGGTGTACGGCCGAGCGTACGGTTGGCGTTGGAACGGCAGCGTGCGATGTGGCGCTTCAAGCCCGCTTATTTCGGGGGTGGACAGACCTCCTACCCTGACACGTCGATTAGTGAATTGTCCGTTTTCGGTTCTCGAGAGGGCGCCGCGGCCGTCATTTTCCAGGCTTGCGCCCGCCAGATTTAGGCCCGGGGTCGTTTTCACTAAACCACGTTTTACTAAAGGGAGGTCTGTACATCCCCGATTATTACTCGCTGTCCCCCACCTTAGGGATCGCGTGCACGGAAGAGGCTCTGGAAGGAGACGGCGTGCCACAGAAGGGCCCCTCGCGGGGGCCTCGCCTCACACCGGGGGCAAGCGAGGGGGGGGGGGGGGGGAAGTGAGAAGGAGAAAGGCCTTCTCAGAAGGCGGCGGGGCTTCTCCAAAGCCCTCGCGGCTTCTGAGAAGTTGTCTGTGCCTTCGGGGCAGGCTCAGAGAGCTTCTCAGCAGGCCGGGGGACTTCGAAGCCTTCCGAGGAGGCCTTCTCCCCCGCGCTTCCCCCCCGGGCTCGCCGCCGAGGGATCGCTCGCCGCCGAGGGATCGCGTGCCGCCGAGGGATCGAGTGACCTTTCGCCGGAGTGACCTTTGGTGCGTGCACAGATGGGCCCCCAGATGGCCGAACGCGAAGCGGTAGCAGCGGCTAGGGCGCCCAGATTTGGCCTCCCCGCGGCCCCCCAAAAGCCGCGCACCAAAGGTCACTCTTACCCAGGGTCACTCTTACGCGTGGCCGAAGAAGGGCCCCATCGCGGGGGCCTCGCCTCGCAGGGGTAGCGTCTTCTTGCTGTGACCGTGGACCGATGCTGCGCGCCGGGGGCGAGGCGGCAGGGCGCAGAAGGGCAAAAGGCCCGGGGAGCCCCGAGGCGAGAGGCGCCTTCAGGCAGGGGCGCTCCCCGGCTCCGCCGCCCTGCCCTCGAGTCCAGCACGTTCCTCCGCAGGAGGACGAGGAGGAGGAGGAGGAGGAGGAGGAGGAGGAGGAGGAGGAGGAGGGCCAGTCGAGACAACTGCGGCCCGCCCTGGCGCTGTGCCTCGCGAGGTTCGGAGTGGAGCCTTGGGGGGGGGGTCCGGGGACGGATTTTAAAAAGCTATGGGCCAGGCTGGAGAGCCGCCGTTGTCTCAATTGGCCTCCTCCAGTTCAAATTGTCGGAAACGCCTACAGTCGGGGCCCAGAAGAAGGGACCCTTTTCGTTGGGGAGGGGCTCCGTGTTCCTTCATTGTTTCGCAGCTTGCCTAGGATGTTCCTCAGGTTTTCGATACGAAATCGAAGTTCAGCTTGTGGAAAATAGGGGCCTCGCTCCTTATTTAGGGTTCCTTAGGTCAACGCCTGGGCCTCGACTGTATCCCAAAATGATCAAAAGATAGTATGGGGACGATGCTTCGATTCTGTTTGAGAACGTTGCTGGAGCATGTTCTGGCTACTCTTCCTTCTCCTCCAGGAAGTCCGCCTGCAGGAGGACATGCCCGACCCAACCCTGCCCTTGTCGTCCCGTCCCCCGCGAGCCCACTCGCGGGCCTGCGGTCCGGCTCACCTTCGCCCCCCCGTCGCCCGCCGCCTCCCCGCCCACCGTGGGTGAGGCGTGTGTTTTCCACCACCACCACCAGAAGTCAGGAAGGGTCCAGTTCGGTTCGGTTCAGTTAGGTTCCGAAATGGGTCCGGTTCGGTTCGGCTCGGTTCGGCGTCGGAATTTTCCGGTTCGGTTCGGTTCGGTTCGTCGTTGTCAGGGGTGCCGTCCGGTTCGGCCCGGTTTGCCGTGCGTTTCGCTCCAGTGAACGCTCCACCTGGTTCGCTGCGGAGGACGGGGGGAATGCCGTGGGGGGGTGCCCGGGGTGGGGCCTGGGAAGGGCGCCTGGGGGGGGGGGGGCACGGGGGGGGATCGCGGGGGGGGGCCCGGAGAGGGGCGCGGGGCGGGATGCCGGAGGGGGGTGCCCGGGGCGGGGGCTGGGGGAGGGGGCCGGGTGTGTGTGCCAGGGCAGGGGGGCCGAGGGGTGGTGCCAGGGAAGGGTGTTGGGGGTGGGGGGGCGGGGGGGGTTGCCAGCCCAGGGTGTTGCCGGGGAGGGTGCCGGGGGAAGGTTTTCCTGCTCTGTCTCCTTGCCCTCCTCCTCCTCCTCCTCCTCCTCCTCCTCCTCCTTGCCTCCTCCTCCTCCTCTTCCTCCTCCTCGTCCTCCTTCTCGTCCTCATCCTCATTCTCCTACTCCTTCCCTCCTCTTCCTCCTCCTCCTCCTTCTCCTCCTCCTCCTGCTCCTCCTGCCCCCTGTTCCTCCTCCTCCTCCTCCCTGCCCTCCTCCTCCTCACTGCCCTCCTCCTCCTCCTCCTCCTCCTCCTCCTCCTCCTCCTTCACCTCCTCCTCCGCCTCCTCCTTCTCCTCCTCCTTCCCCTCCTTCCTGCGGTTCGTATTGTTTCGGTTCGGCCGGTTCGGTTCGGGTCCTGAGCCTTCTTGTAAGTTGGAGGGGGGAAGGAGGTAGATGACGAAGAGGAGGAGGACAAAGAGAGGAGGACGAAGAGGAGGACGAGGAGGAGGACGAGGAGGAGGAGGAGGAGGACGAGGAGGAGGACACCCTCCCACTCCAACTTGTTGTGGTGGTGGTGGAAAACAGGCCCATCAGTGGGGGCGGGGCGCGCCCGCTCGCGGCAGCAGGCCCAGCGACGCCCTGCCGCGCGCGCGCGCCAGGCGGCGAGCGCTCCGGAGCGCTCTTGGAGCGAGCGTGCCGGGGACGCTCCGCGGAGGCCGAGCATCCCGAGACTCGAGCAGTGGCGAAGCGTCGCGGCTCGCCCATGGGCCCACCCAAAGAATGTTCTTGGAACATTTCTGGCTGGGATCGTCTTGTTTTAACACATGGGGCTTATGCTGTAAGGGCACTGCTTTGTTATTAGAACACGCTTGGGCTCTAGGAACACCTCGTGGTAATTAGGCCTACAGGAATGCCGGGACGGTCGGTCCAAGAGACATCCTCCAGAGCCGCGGGATCTCAGCGAGTATCGAGTTGCCCTCCCCCCCCCGATGTGATCCTCGCGCTGGCTCAGCCTCCTATACTCGCCCCCGTCTTCTCCCCAGTCCCCCCCCACCCCTCCTCCCCTCGCTTCCCCCCCCCCTCGCCCCTGTTATCTCCCCCGCCCGCGTCCTCCTCTGTGCCTTCTGCTACTCTCCTAATTACCGCCCGGAGGTGAACACCAAGGGCGATGGCCGCTTCTACCAGCTGGAGCCCTGCGCGAGGGAGGAGGAGGAGGAGGAGGAGGAGGAGGAGGACGAGGATGAGGACGAGGACGAGGACGAGGACGAGGGGGAGGAGGAGGACCAGGAGGAGGAGGACCAGGAGGAGGAGGAAGAGGGGGAGGGGGAGGAGGAGGAGGAGGAGGAGGAGGGGAGGAGGAGAGGAGGAGGGAGGTGGAGGAGGAGGAGGAGGAATAGGGAGGAGGAGGAGAGGAGGAGGACCAGGAGAGGAGGAGGAGGAGGAGGAGGAGGAAGAGGGCCGCACGAAAGGGTAGAATAGTGAAAGGGGAGGGGTACGAAATCTGCTGCATGCAACCGCCCCGCTGCTGGGCCTGTTCCTCGATACATGGGCGCCTCCTGGCGCTGGGAGGCGCCAGGCGATTGGGAAAGCCAGCTACGTGAGCTGATTAATTTCCCTGCCCTTTGCTATCCTACCCTTTCGCCCGCCCGAAAAAGGAGTTTGAAGGAGGAGGAGGATGATGAGGAGGAGGAGGGTGTTGGAGAAGGAGTATAAGGAGTAGAAGGAGTAGAAGGATGAGGAGGAGGAAGAGGAGGAGTAGAAGGAGAAGGAGGAGGAAGAGGAGGAGGAGAAGGAGGAGGAGGAGGAGGAGTCTGAAGGAGGAGGACGGAGGAGGGATATGGGCGGGGAGAGATTAGGAGGGGGAGTTTGAGGGTGGAGGAGGGAGGAGGAACAGTTTGAGGGAGGAGGAGGGAGGAGGAGGATGGATGAGGAGGAGGGAGGAGGAGTTAATGAGGAGGAGCAGTTTGAATGAGGATGGAGGAGAGACATGGGTGGGGAGAGAGGAGGAGGAGGGGGACGGGGCGCATTGGTCTGGCGTTGGCTGGAAAGGGTATCATAACACATCGGGAACACAGATCGCAGGCGAGCTTCCTCCCCGAATCACCGAGTTCCGCTTGAACAGACTGGCCTTTCAGAAAAAGAAGGGGGGAACCCTGAGATACACCCCAAGGGGGGCGATTCGGACGCACCTCTATCGAGGACGGCCGCCCCCCCTCGTGTCTCCCAGGATCGGGCCCAACATTTTGGGTCCATTCGAGAACCTCCCAGAGCCTGGGATAGGGGTCGACCTGGTTCCTGTTAACAGAGGGCGGGTCGACACGTAATGAAATGCGTGGCAGGTCCGCAGGTGAACGCCGTTGGGAGGAGAGCAGCAGCAGAACACACAAGCAATCGAACATCGAACGCGACAAAAACTTAGAAACACCCGAGATCCTTCGACAGCCTCCGAACAGTTCTCTGGCGCGCGGGCATTTCCGAGACGGGACGTCCGAAGACCGACGAGGAGCGACCTCGAACGACGAATGTTTCAACCGTCGGCATTGTGCATCTGCATCAGGAGTCTACGTCTATGCCAGACGTCCTCTTCAGGCGTCTGCGCCAGATTGCAGCCGTCTGCGTGAGATGTGTATGCCACAGGCTGCAGCATGCTTCTTCGTCAGACGGCTCAGTCTTCGCATTATGCGCACTCCCACCAGCCCAGTCGCGAACGATGCCGCGGCGAGTGTGGCGAATCTGGCCCACGTGTTCACCAGGGAGCCTGGCATCGTTCGGACGTGTGCATTTTTTCTCGGCGAGGGCGATCGAGGAGCATCCCTGATCATCTGGGAAAACAACACGCACGAAACCGAACAAAAGCACAGGGAATGGACGTCCGAGCGATGGCCAGGGGAGGTGTGGGAGAACGCAGCGGCACAAAGGGGGGGGGGGCAGCCGTCCACCCGAAGCCCCGAGAAGCGCAGCGCCGGGAGTTAACCATTCAGGAGGGGAACAAACACACAGACACAAGTAATCGTCCACTCCCAGGAAAATATAGGAAACTATGGGAAGTGGGGGGGAAGACAAACATTCAAAACATATGGGAACATAGGGGGAATCATTTTATTTGCGTGTATTTATTTGTGTGTCCTGGGGCCTCTTCAACCATACAGGTTTGAATCGGATCCCTCGATGTGGGATGGGAGCCGCTCGGCAGCTTACCACCAGCCTCGAACCTATCCCTACCCCTAAGATGGACACGCCAAAAGGAGATGACAACCCTAGGGATACACCCTCAGAAACAGAGGAAATCCCTAGGATCGCCATCGTGATGAGGCGATGCCCAACATAGGGATAGGGATATGTTCCAGGCTGGTAAGCTGACGGGGGCCATCCTGGGGCCATGTTGGAGGCCTTCGGGGCTCTCTTGCGGTCCTCCGGGAGCCATGCGGGCCGTGTTGGGGCCACCATGGCTGCCATCGTTCAAAGGAGGGGGAGGGGGGGGGAACTCGGGTGGTCGCGCCGCTTGTGCCCGACGAGTCGCATCCTGAGACCCTCGCAGAGCCGTCTTGGAGCCCTCTTAGAGCTCTCTTGGGCCATCGTGGAGCCATCGCAGGGACACAGACGCGCACCGAAGGCGAGAAGGCGAGACGGCAAACAACTGCTGTTGTTTCCTAGCTGTGGGAAGGATGTTGGCCTCTCAGGTTCTTCCTCGGGAGGCGCCTTGGCCATTCGGAGCCGTCCAGGGCGGTCTTGGGCCTTTTGGAAGCATCTCGAAGGCCATACTGACCAGCTTTCGCTATCTGGGGCCATCTTGGGGCCATCTTGCACGCTCTGGCCGCTCGCGAGGTGTCCTGTGCACACCTAGGGGAGGTGGGAAGAGGGGGATGGGGTCGAGCTACCCACAGGGCGCGGGGCAGGCCGCTCCCCCAAGGGGGAGAACGCGGTTGAGCAAGGAAGCGCTCTACAGTCAACGCGCCCAGTAAGGACGCGCGCCTTCATCTAGGGTGCACTTGTGTCCCTGCGTCCGCTTGCACTGGCCGCCCGCCGCTCTGCAAGAATCCCGACTTCGGCCTCCAAGGGCCTTGCATCTCTACTACCCGTCCTTGACACACATGTTGACTGCACAGGGAAGCTGGAGCACGTGGCCAGGGCCAGCCCTGTCACTCTTTCCCGGCCCGAAGTCCAATTCTTTGTGCCGGGTTTGTTCCAGCCCTTGCCAGTTTTTCCAGCCCTGGCCACTTCCACTTTCGTTGAATCTGCAAGATTCACAGGCTCCTTTGTACAATCTAGACCCTGAAATCAGGCGATCGCAAACATGGCTGAAGGGGACGTGGATTAGCGACGGGTCTCGTTTCCTGGGAAATTGCGGATTGTCGCCGCCGAGCGAGGCGGCACTGGCCGCATTCGGAGGAGAGCACCTCCCCCGACCCATGGAATTGGCGACCGCGCGCCAAGTCCATGGATCGCTAATCCACGTTGGCGCGCCCCCGATGGAGCCACGAGCGCTTCGCGCTCGGAGGGGGTTCTGGCCCGCAGGCTGCTCCTCGAATCCAGGCCAGGGTTTTGGAGGACGATCCATGGAGAGGAAGCACGTTGCCAAATAGTAGCCAGATGTCTAAAGCATGGGTTCAACATGTTTTAAACATGTAAGCACAAACATGTGTGAAACGTTCTTAGAACATGTTTCCGGCACTTGAAACACATTCTAAGTTCAAGGATACAGCCGGGGCCCTGAAGAAGGAACCCTTTTCGTTGGGGAGGGGCTCGGTGTTCCTGGATTGTTTCGCGGCTTGCCTCAGGGCTTCCTTGTGTCTGGGAACGGGAGGTCGAAGGGTAACTGATGGAAAATAGGGGCCTCGTTCCTTATTTCGGGTCCCTTAGGTCAACGCCCCGACGGTAGGACTCTTAGGTCGCGGGCGATGTTTCTCCCCCAATCCCCGAGTTTCGCCCGAAAAGTCTGGCCGCTCAGAAGAATGGGAAAACCCTGGGATACACCCCATGGGGGCTATTCGGACTCACCCCTATCGAGAATGGACACCCCCCCATCGTATATCCCAGGGTTAGGCCCCAAATTTCTGGTCCATTCGGAAACCCCACGAAGCCTGGGATAGGGGTCGACATATCCCCTGTTATTAGGGTGTCCGTTGCCGTGGCAGCCACAGAGGCCAGGGGGACCTCTGCTCGTGGCCGCGGCCCGCCGTGGCCGGGAAAAAAACGGCCCCCCCGGCGTCCCTGCGTCGGCGCTCCCCGCGGTGCGGCAGCGGCCCCAGTCAGGAAGGAACAAAACACAAGGGCTCCCTCGAGGGCGCGAAGTTATTCGCGCTTCGCGCTTCGCGGTCCTCGTTCCTTCTCCCCCTCCTCCTCGTCCTCCTATTCTCCTTCTGGGAGGGCGGCGCGAGAGCGCGAAGTTATTCGCGCTTCGCGCTTCGCGCAGCGCGAAGCGCGAAGTTGGGAGCCCTTGAAAACACACAGACACAGGGAATCGTCGATCCCGTAGAAGAGATAGGGAAAGTATGGGAAGTGGAGGGGGGAGGCAAAAGCCCAGCAACTGCGGGGAAGTGTGGGGAGTCCTGTGATTTGTGTCTGCTCATCTGTGTGTCCCAGGGCCCCTTCACAATGAATCGTCGATCCCCCAGAAAATATCAAACGACGCGAAGATCGGGACAAAATCGGATCGGGACAACTTGAAATCTCTGAGAATCGGCGGGTTTGGAGGATGTATTGGACGCCGCGGCCGCTCCAGAGCGTTCCGGAACGCCCTCAGAGCGCTCCGGAACGCTCTGGAGCGATTTATCCCGATCCTAGCCTTGTTTTATATATAGGAAACTCTGGGAAGTGGCGGGGGAAGACAAAAACCCTGCAAATATGGGGGACATATCGGGAGTCCTGTTATTTGTGTCTATGTATTTGTGTGTCCCAGGGCCCCTTCACCCAGGAGCTCCCGAGAGGTCTCCTCCTCATCCTCCTCCTCGTCCTCGTCCTCCTCCTCCTCCTCCTCCTCCTTTCCCTCCCTCTTCTCCTCCTCGTCCTCCTCCTCCTCCTCCTCCTCCTCCTCCTCTTTTCCCTCCCTCTCCTCCTCCTCCTCCTCCTCCTCCTCCTCCTCCTCCTCCTCCTCCTCCTCCTCCCTCTCCCGCCGCCTCCTCTTCTCCCCACGTGTTTCCCGAAGGGCTTCCGCAACGGCTGGGGGAACGCATGGTCCAGTAGCGTGGCCAAACTTGGCCTAAACGTTTGGCCACATAGGCGTATCCTGAAATGCAGGGGGCGGCGGTGGTTCGTATCGTGTCTTAACGATGCGGAAACGACCCCGCCGCGGGCATTCAAGGTTAAACGCCTTCATTGGCCCCGAACCGGGCGACGTGGAACGATCTGGCCGACGTAAAGTTGTCGACCGTTCAAGGTTGAACGGTCCACGCGGTGTCAGAAACCAACGCCGAGCCCATGACGACACAAACCTTCCGTAGCAATTCGGTCGCAAATCATGTGAGATTGGTGTACCTCCTTAATTCCGTCTTTGGCGTTGACTAGCGTCGATTAGCGTCAGGGAGTCGATTGGATAACCCGATTGAGCGTCGATTTAGCGTCGGTGAGCGTCGATTCGCAAGAGCCGACAAGATGATCTGGGAAGCTACCGTGAGTTGCCACCGAATAACACGATGGGCGGAAACCACCTCAGTCCAAAAGGGCCGGTAGGACCACGTCGGGCGTCAGCCGTCAGGGGTCGGCCGCGCAGGAGTTGGAGGTGGACGGCAGCGAGTGTGCGCAGGGGGGGCGGTTCGTGTGGTTCAACAGCCGGCTTCAGAAGGTGGTGGAGATCGGGCTGAGCGACGACAAGATCGGCATGTTCTCCCCCCGCCCTCCCTCCCTCCTGTTCCTCCTCCTCCTCCCTCCTCTCTCTCTTTCCCGCCTCCTCCTCCTCGTCCTCCTCCTCTGCCGCCTCATCCCCCCTCCTCTTCCTCATCCTCCTCCTCCTTCTCCTCCTCCTCCGTTCCTTCCTCCTCCTCCTCTTCGTCCTCGTCCCTCCTCCTCCTCCTCTTCGAACGGTAGGTCCTCGTGCCTTGCTTGCTTCTCACCCTGTCCTTGACGCTGCCGCTTTGGATCTTGAGGATTATTATTCCGCGCTCGACTTAGACGCTATACATCGCTCTACAGTTTCCCTCCACGGAAAGCGCAGTCCGCGTCCCCATTTCCAGTTGGTAGTGGAGCAGGTTCGCTCCGGCTCCAATCCCACGGCCGCCATGTCCCGTCTCGCCTCGATGGCCATGTTTCCAGCTTTCCGTCGCTCTACATCGCGGCGCCTGCGGGAGACGCCACTCATGGCTACGTCAGGACTGGACCAGCCCATCCGCAGAAACACGTTGTGCCGCTGCACGTGCCGCTCTACATCCCGCCGCACATCCACCTTCAATGTCATCGCCATCGTGCACCCTTTTCCCGTTCACTATGGCAAAAACGATGCTCTAGAGTCCGTCTTGCCGAGGACGTGCACAACCAGTATTACACCAACGACATCGCCACCAATATCTACAGGGACAGCTCTGCGACCCACCCCGGGGATGCTCGGACTGTGTCCAGGCAGCTCGCGGACCCTAATCTATTAGTGCCCCCGCCCGCGGGGATAGCTTCAGGTGTTAGACAGCTGCTCGCCACAACGTTCACATCTGCGGTGCCAGACTTGAGTCCCGAGCTCCTTAGGGGACTGTGTCCGAAGAGCCCTGGGAGAGGCAATCAGAGAAATGACATCCGGCGGCTGTGTCGCTGGTTCGGAGCGGATATGCAAAGGGAAGAATGGGGGCCGTGTCCTGAGCCCCCCCCCAAGGGAATGTAGGTGAGGGCGTGACGACTGCGATGCCATCGTTCCGAGGCACCACTCATCGGGACCCGACCAATCGCTCTACTTGCCCAGGCCCGCCAGCCGGGCGGGGCGGGATCCCGATGCGCGCCAGTGTAGACGATCGTGTCATTCACGGTGCTCAGTACAGTGACCAAGCGACGACGAAAACATTCCCGTGATTGTGTCGCGGGATGTTCCGAGTACTGCGAACACTACAGCGGCACGACAGAGGCAGACGCCCAATACGCTGACGAAGAGGAAGAGGAGCACATCTGGCGCAATTGTTTTCGGCGGCTTATACAACGCTGCTTGAGGATCGTGGTGTCCTGGACCTCTGCGACATGGGGAGGAAGCTGCACTCCAGATGGACTGCCATCCGAGTTGGCACGCTCGTTATCGCAAGCTGCGTGGCCTGCATGGGCGGAGGTAGTGGCACCGGCAACATGCGCCACCTCCGCACCTGGGTGCCAAGCACCAGGCTCGCGTGCCTTGCCAGAAATGCGTACGCGCAGTGGTGATATGGTCAGTGGCGAGCTCCGACCTCAACGAATTTCGCCAGGCGGCTTACGTTTCGTCGCGCCTTGCCGACATGCCGGACGAGTGCGCAGAGGAATGGCCGCCAGCTGTCCTGATCCAGGGAGGACTCATCAACGGAAACCCAGTGCCGCCGATGACACTCCTAATGCACAGCTTGGCTGAGCCACGGGGCCAGCTGGGCGAGGAGGAGCGCACCCTGGCAGTATCGGTTCTGATGAACTTCGACCGACTGCCGCGGGAGTGTATTGACAACTTCCTGACGAGGTTCGACATCCTCCGCAACCGGGCGCAGCAAGCCGGTCAAACCACGCTCGGTTACGAAGGACTCAGTTTGCCCTTGTTGCGTGCCGTTGGGGTGTCGAACATTCAACCCGCTATGCTCCTACAGTGCGACAACATAGCTGACCCAATGAACTCTCAGCACCTTTTGACCGGCCAGCTGAGACGCTTTATTGGGCACGCGATAGACGGATCGCAAGGCAACCTCGCCTCGGCTGCCCAATCTGCCCAACACAACATGTTCCTCACGGGTGCGCCCACTCAGGAGCAGAGCTGGGACGGCGTAGGTCTTGTTGCACTGGCATCGGCACCGAGCCTCCCTGCACAAGCCGAAGCCGTGGTTGGAGGCCGTGCTTCTAGCGTGGTGGCACCACCGGCACAGGGGGCATACCCAGCAGCAGGCATCGGCTCAAGCACCCACTCAGACGCCGCCAGCTCATCCGGCCAGGAGATAGCCGTCGACGACCCCGAGCTACGCGACATTCCGATGGAGCAACGTGGCGCGCATCTTTTCTTGGCTTACGAACGCGCCAAAGCACGCTGGCACAGCTTCAACAACCACGAGCCCACGCGCCACGTCCGGAGGATCACCAAACGGAAACTCAAGGGCAAAGGTAAAAGCGACCACGCTTTCCTAGCCACCCTGTCCGAGAACGGCCTCCGGGTGACCTTCGTGGGTTTCGGTGTATGGCGCCGCTTGTCGGGGTGTTAAGTAAGGGGCGTTTTTTTATTTAAGTCGATGCCGCTGACGTTCCCCCAGAGGAGGCGGTCAGCTTTCCTCATCGATCTTCTTCCATCCCTCACTCTCTCTCCCCTTCGTTGGTTCGTCGCCTTGTTGCCTCCTCTGTTCACGCGGTAAAAGTTGTGGGTGCGTCGCCTTAATGCAAAGATGCCCTCCCTCTGTCCGCATCTCTGCCTCCAACCTTTCCTCCCTCCTTTTTCCTCCGCTCATCTTTCCCTCTCACCATGGGGAAAAGGATGGGGAGGAGGGAGGTTTCTTTTCTGGTGTTCGAGAAACTTACGTGGATCAGTTTGGATCGTATAGTGCGTATGCCACAACCGAACAAGCAACTGCAGCACGGGATTTGACACAGTGGCCCTATATGACGTTTCGGACAGGTGCGGCGTGCAAAGATGCAAGGAAGCAGCAGCGAACGAGCAGAAGTTCAAGGAGGTGTCCTTCTCCTCTCCCTCCCTCTCCCTTGCGCGCCCTTCCGCCCCCCCCCACCCGGCGGCAGGTTCATGCCCCCTGACCTGTACCAGAAGTCCAGGGAGTGGGCGTCGGCCGCCGCCCAAGCTTGGGTGCCCGCGCCGCGCGGTTCGCCGCCCCGACCGCCCCCCGTCGCCCGCTATTCCATCATCCTCCCTCCTCCTCCTCCTTTTCCCCCCCTTCCGCCTCCTCCTCCTCCTCCCCTTCCTCCTCGTCGTCGTCCTCCTCCTCCTCCTCCTCCTCCTCCTCCTCCTCCTCCTCCTCCTCCTCCCCCTCCCCCTCTTCTTCCTCCTCCTCCTCCTCCTCCTCCTCCTCCTCCTCCTCCTCCTCTTCCTAAGCGTCGGCTATCCACGGCGGGCCACACACGAGATTGTAACTCATATCTATATATATATATATATATATATATATATAGCCCTCACTGCTACACCTTCGCCGCTCGATTCGTCGAGGCAGCGCGTCTCTCCTGGCTTCAGATCCGTCTGGTCGCGGGCATCGAAGTAACAGAAGCAGCCTCGGCCATCCGTATAAATTGTCCAGCGCCGGGAAAGATCATGCGTAACGTTAGCACCTTTCAATCAACTTTTGTGTTTGCCAGCGCCTCCGATCGTGTGCAGGAAATCGCTGACTTCACGACTCACGTGGCTGTCCAATGTGTCAACGGGACGTCCGTCGGAAGTCATGGCGACATATGGCTCAAAGCCGGCGAGAGATAGCGCTTGGATGTTGGGTGAGCGAGGTCTTCCCACAGCAACAGGTTGTTTGGTTGTGCTATCGTCTTCGGCCTTCGGGTGCGACGCAGGTCAGTTGTCCAGGCATGGCACGGGTTATACCAGCGGCAGGCTGAGGTCTTGTCATCGGGGTGCTCAGCAACAATGCAGCACGGCAGCGGTCTCGGTGTGTTTCCCCCCCTGCCATTTCCAGGCCGAGCGCATTCAAAGCGTAATTACTGCTAGACGTGCGACTCCATCATCAGGTGGTTGCGATCTCTGCCGTTGTGGTGAGTCTACGCACGTGGCCTCAGGCGGGCCCGATGCAAAGATCCAGCTGGGCGGCAGAGGCACCTCTCCGGTTGCATTCAAAACGTACACGGCACAATGCCGATTTTTTTTTGGTCTGCGGGTCGGGAGCGGGTCCCTTCCGATTAAGAGCTAGGCGGGGCGGGGAAGCCCTAATTAGGGAGACAGGGCGCGGGCGGGCGGGGCCTCAGGCGGCCGGAGGGCGCGGAGTACAGGCGGTAGAGCTTGCACAGGAAAAGGTACGCCGTGGACAGGAGCCGGGGGCGAAGTCCCGGAGGGAGAGCGAAGTGGTGTTGCCGTCATCGGCGCGCCAGGATCACCATCCTCGAGTGCTGCGTGGGGAGGGCCGCGAGCGTGTCAACGTCCGAGAGGTAGAGGAAGACCAGGTGTTTCTCTCGGCCTCCGTGAGACCCTGGAAAACCCCTTGAGGCGAGGTTGGGCCTTCCCTTGGGGCCAAGGTGCTCCCCCTCTGGGCCTCGGGTTTCGGAGTTTTGCCTCCTGGAGCTCCTTGCTCTGTACGGGGACGGCGAAGACCAGGATCACAATGCCGAACGTGTGTCATTCAGAAGGGCAAGGCAGACAAGGTGTGCTGCATCACCGTTGCCAGGCGCGCGCTCGTCGGCGGCTCGCGCGACCGGGCCCTTGCACAGGCGTGATGACAGATCTCTCCAGGCAGTTGCATGTCGACCTCCTCCTCCTCCTCCTCGCCCTCCTCCTCCTCCTCGTCCTCCTCCTCCTCCTCCTCCTCCCTCTCCTCCCCCTCCCCTCCTCCTCCTCTCTCCTCCTCCTCCCTCCCCTCCCCCTCTCCTCCCCCTCCTCCTCCCCCTCCCCCTCCTCCTCCTCCTCCTCCTCCTCCTCCTCCTCCTCCTCCTCCTCCTCCTAGTCGCTTCCACAGAAGGGGAGCTCGAGGAAATACCCATTCATGCCTATATGCATTGTTCGATCGAGCACGTCCTCGGCCAAGGTAGGTGATCGCCCTCGCCTGGGATTTGTTGCGTGTCCACGCCGCTGGAGCCGCGGCGCCCTGATGGCTGATCTCAGACGCGGTGCGGAGCGAGCGGAGTTCCTGCGGCAAGTGTCACAGCGAACCACCGCATATACTCATGGACGAACGCAATCTCAACGCGATGAGCGGACACCCAGTTCTGATTGGGCGTACTTGTTGCAGGTATTGGGTGATACTGGCGCCATGTACGTCACCACAAGGCCATCCCTCTCGACGGGTTCCAGGCAGAGATCGGCACCCGTCAGAGAGCTCCTGCGCCAGAGGAGAGATCCGAGAAAAACCGCGCGCAGCTATACATGTCAATATGGCTGCGACTAGCACAGCGGAGCTACTCGGCATCAGCAAAGCACTTCGTGGCACGCACCGTCGGCATCCCGCATCGTGGAGGCAGGGCGACACCGAGGCGCTCAACGTGGCATATCAGCACGATCGACCCCCTCCCTGGCGCGCGGAGCGCGCCAGGGGCGGCGCCCGGGCGCCGCCAGAGGCGGCGCCGGGGCGCCGCCGCCTGTCGTTCCCCCTCGTTTCCTTGTTGTGTCGTTGCTGGGCCGTGGCCTAGGACCTAGAATCGAGTTGGGGGGGCCTTGGGTTATCCCTCGTGCGCACTTGCAGCTGGGAGGGCGGTACCCTTGTAGACCGTCACGGGCCCTTGCCATTTCCGGTCCTGCCCAGGGCCACAGGGCTCTCCCAAGCGAGGCTGTGGGCTATAGCCCTGAGCTGTTCGTAGATCCTTTCATGTATTGCGAAGGCCTTGCAGCCGGTGCTGCTGCGAAAAGCGGGACCTCCATTGGGACCCCCGTTGGCGCCGCCCTTCGGGAATTGCTGGGAATCAGGGGGCGGCGGTAATCTGACCCTGGCCCCCCCACACACACACACCGCAAGCGGGGCCTCCCCTGGGACCCCCGCAGGGCACCTATCATAACAGGAAATAGCACATACACACCAAGAGCTTTATAGGTTTTGCGCCGGAAGGGGGCGTCGTTGATACGGTGCCTGGCACAGATACGGGGATCGGCGTGGCGTCGGACTTTGGAGCTGGCGGTTTGCGTGGCAAGTGCGTTTAGCTGGCCGCATGCGTGCGGAACGCGTTGCGGGTGGAGAGGCCGCTCACCAGCAATTGGCAGTCCTCTGCCCGCGGGCCAGAAAAAATCGTCGCGCGCTCGCAACGGGGTGCGGGAATGAGGGCTGGGAAGAGAGCGCGAGTCTCATTCCCAAGAAGTCCCTTCGATAGGCAGCAAAAAAAATCTGTTTCTATTCATCTGCCGCGCGGCCAACCGAACGAACGAACAATTGTCTCGGCGCGCAGTGTCAGCTTCGCTTGCGCGCATCCTGGCTTCCTTCCGTTGCTTCCTTCGCTTCTTTTTCGCCCTCCTTTTCTTTTTCCTCTCCCCCTGCTTTGCCTTGTCCCGCCCTCCCTTCCTTTCCAGCTCGGAGCTGTCACCGCGCGCGATGAACGCAACCCAAAGGGCGTTGCTGCTGTAATTCCTTTGTGTGCCACGAGGTTAATTCCTTTGTGTGCAGTGCCAACGCGGGGGGCGCACAAAGGAATTTCCTTTGTGTACGATCGTTTTCGCCGCCCCCACAAGAGCACGCGCGATTCCTTTGCGTAGAGCTCGCTTTCCCGTCTCGAGGAGCGCACGGGGCTTGGCGCTACAATCGCAAGGCCGCGGCGCCTGGCAGTGCGATGCAGCTGCGCCGGATACCACGCCCAAAACGATCCTGCGTGGATTTCGGCTCTTCTGCCGAAATCGCGCTGGCAGCTGGCCAGCCACATCGCCGGCCCTGCATGCCCGCGCGCGCTACTGCGTTCTGCTGCCGCGACGCGCGCTGCTGTCAACGGATGAACAAACTGACGTTGCACGGTGGTTTGGCTGTGCCAAACCACCATGGAATGTTTGTTGGTCGCGGATATTGGGATCTTGTCGCCGCCGACAGCCTTGCCACACCATGCATGTCAACTGCATCCTAGAGCGCGGCCGCGCATCAAGGATCGCTGGGATCCAGTCGCATGTGTGCACATGCGTTGCACGTGCTGGTGCCGAAACCCTTTGAGTGAAATTCCTTTTGCGCGTTTTTTTTTCTGGCTCCTAACTTAAGCGGCCACGCAGGAAACAATGTCCAAGATCACAGTCGTCCCATTCCGTTCCGTTCCTCGTCGTCGTCGTCGTCTTTGTCTTTCTCTTCCTCCTCGCCAGCCTCCGTCTCCTCCCTCTCCTCGTCCAATCTTCTTTTTCTCCATCCTCCTCCTCCTCGTCCTCCTCAACCTCCTCCCCCTCCCGCTCCGGTTCCTCCCGCTTCCCGTTCCTGCTCCTCCTCCTCCCTCCTCCTTCCTCCGCCCCATCCCCCTTTTATCCGTTCCATGGAGCTGGAGCTGCGGCCGACTGGTCAACAAAGGGAGCAACCCTTGACCCATTTTCAATATTTTCCTCCATCCTCCACAACCAATCGGTTATCCCCCATCTGCCTCACTCCATCTTCCTCGTCCGCCACCCCCCTCCCGTGCCTCCTCCTTTTACGCGTATTTCCGATTTCAATGTTATTTTTCTTCGCTTCCTCAGCATCAGCATCATCACCATCATCCTTTTACATCATAGTCTTCCACCTCATCATCAACACACCAATCATATTCAGATCCATAACCACCATCATTATCACCACCACCAGCATCACCATCTCCGCCATCACCACCACCACCATCACCACACTTACCATCATCAGAACCATCACTATCATCATCAGGGCCATCATCGTCATCTTCGTCATCATCATCATCATCATCATCATCATCATCGTTGTGAGCATCAACATCAGCATAATCGTCGTCGTTTTCCCGTCCTCACCAAACTCACCATCAACGGCATTACCGTCGTCATCGTTATCGTCACCATCAGCACCATCGCCATCACATCCACTTCATCGGCAGCTGCAGCAGTATGATCATCATGATCATCGCCACCACCACGATCAGCATCAACATCCCTGCCCCGCGATAGTGCCGCAGCATGTCAGTTGGCGCACCGCATCCTTGACCCCGTGGCCAGTTAACCCCCCGTCCGTGGTCCATCATCCTCCCCCTTCCTCTTCCCCCTCCTCCCTCCTCGTTCTCCCCTCCCTTCCTCCCTCCTCGCACCTCCTCACGCAATCAAGCACAGCGCTGCGTCTCCCTCCTCCCATCATCCCTCCTCGTCCCTTGCCCATTGTCCTCCTCTGTTGCTCCTTCGTCCCCCCCTTCTTTGATTCTTGCCTGCAGCCTCCTCCTCCTCCATCGCATAGGATTAAACATTCGTGTTCCCCTCGCTACTTTCTCCCCCCCTCCTTCCTTCATCATTCAACATCCTTCCCCCCTCCCTCCCTCGTTTGTCCCTCCCGTCCTTCCTCACCCTCCCTCCGCTTCCCCCCCCCTTTTCTCCACCTTACGTCACCCCTTCCCCAATTATCTCTCATCCCGCCCTCCTGTTTTTAGCGTTCCCCCCCGGCCTTCCTGCAATTAATTTCGTTTCTCGTACCTTTCCCAACGCGGTCTTTTCTTCGTCTTCCTTCATTCCTCCCCCGCCCCTCCCGTTCTCCTTCCTCTTCCTTTCTTCGGCCCTGGTCATCATCGCTCGTCACCCTTCGCGCCCCGTCCATCCAACCCCTTCCGCTTGTCCTCGGCTTCATCCTTCGTCCCCGTTCACATTCCCCTTCCCCCCTTTTCCGTCCTCCCCGCTTACCTTCGTTCTCCTCCCCGCTGCCGTGATCGTCCTCCTCCAGCCCCGAAGCCTGACCACCGCTCCTCCGTGCCCCCTGCCCCATCTTCCCTCCTTCCTCCGCCCACCTTCCCTCCGCAACTCCCTCCTCGTCCTGTTCCTCCGCCCCCATTCCCACGCTCTTCCCTCCCCTCTCGCTCCTCCCCCTCCTCCTTCCCCCCTCCTCCTCCCCCTTCTCCTTCCCCTCCTCCTTCCCCCCCTCCTCCTCCTCCTCCTCCTCCTCCTCCTCCTCCTCCTCCTCCTCCTCCTCCTCCTCCTCCTCCTCCTCCTCCTACTCTCCACCCGAGGGGCCTGTAAAATCGGCTAGAGTTGAACAGCAACCCCCTCTGGCCTTGTCCTGATCCTCCTCCTCACTCTTCTCCTGCGACAACGACGGCGATGGCCGCGACGACGACGATGACAGCGGCGGCGGCGACTGCCCACGACGGCTGCCGCTGGCTGGGCGTACGCCGAGGCCATCGCCCGCGAGGGCGGGAACAACACCAGGGCCACCATGGAGGGGCTCGTGTTCAAGAACGAGAAGGGCGACGGTCGTCGTCGTCGTCGCGGCCGCGGCCAGGAGGGAGGGGGGAGGGAGGGAGGAGGGAGGATGAGGAGGAGCGGGAGGAGGAGGAGGAAGACGAGGAGGAGAAGGAGGAGGAGGACGAGGAGGAAGACGAGGAGGAGGAGGAGGAGGACGACGAGGAGAAGGAGGAGGGTAATGAGGAAGAGGGGGGAGAAGGAGGGTGCATGGCGTGGCACGGCGCGTGGCCTCCGCCGTCGCCGCTGGCCGCCGCCTGCCGGCTTCGGCTCCCCAGCGGAGCCGCCGCAGCCGCGGCCGCCCGGCGGCCTCTCCCGCGCACGAGGCCGATGCCGTGCTCGTCCTCCTCCTCTTCCTCCTCCTCCTCCTCCTCCTCCACCTCCTCGTCCTCCTCTCCTCCTCCTCCTCCTCCTCCTCCTCCTCCTCCTCCCCCTCCTCCTCCTCCTCCTCTCCTCCTCTCCATCTCCTCCTCCTCCTCCTCCTTCTCCCTCCTCCTCCTCGTCTTCCCCCTCCTCCTCCTCCTCCTCCTCCTCCTCCTCCTCCTCGTCTTCCTCCTCCTCCTCCTCCTCCTCGTCGTATTCCTCCTCCTCCGCAACGGGGGGAGGGGTGTGGGTGCCCCGCGGGGTCGCGGCCGGAGCGTCCAGGCCGCGAGGCACGCGCGGGTGCGGCCGTGCCTCCCGCCCACCGAGGCCTTGCAGGTCGAGGGCGCCCCCGTCGCACCCGGGCCGATGATCCTCAGGATGTGTGCCAGTCCAGCGAGTCCAGGCTTCCCAGATTCGGGGGTGGACAGAACCCCCAACAGTGACACGTCGATCAGTGAAGTGTCCGTTTTCGGTTCTCGAGATGGCGCCGTGGCCGTTATTTTCCAGGTTTGCGCCCGCCAGGTTGGGGCCTCGGGTCGTTTTCACTAAACCACGTTCTACGAAAGGGGGGTCTGTCCATCCCCGACAGATGGGGCCAGAGCAGGTGGGGTCGGAGAGTCGCGCCGCATCGCCGATGCATCGCCGATGCGTCTCGATGTGGAGCCCGATTTGCTTCACGTCGAGGTCCCCGATGCATCGCCCACGTCGACGATGCATCGCCGATGTATCGGCGATGCGGCGCTAGCCCCCGACCCCATCTACTCCGACCCCATCTGGGAGGCCTCTAAATGAGTGTGTGTGTGTGTGTGTGTGTGTTGCCCCGTTCGGCTGCTGTTGGCCAGCTCTGCACCACCTTCGTCGCATCGAAGGGCGCTTGGGTGGACCAGCACGCGTGGACGCCAACACTCGGCGGCGAGCCAGGGGGGGAAACGAGAAGAAGCCACGGAAGGGCGCTGCGCGGGGCCAGCGCCGCGCCCACGGAAGCCCGCGGGGCGCGGGCAGGGCGGCGGCTGCTGGCGTGCTTCGGCGGGGCGCCAACGTTCGGGGGCCGAGCCAGGCGGGGAAACGAAAAGGAGAAGGCCTTCTCAGAAGGCGGCGGGGCTTCTTAGAAGGCCTCTGGCCTTCTGAGAGGTGTTGTACGTCTTCGGGGAAGGAATCGAGCACTGCTCAGAAGAAGGCTGGGAGACTTCCGAGCCTTCTTAGAAGGCTCCCCCCTTCTCACTTCCCCCCCTCGCTCGCCGCCGAACGTTGGCGCCCCGCCGAAGCACGCCAGCAGCCGCCGCCCTGCCCGCGCCCCGCGGGCTTCCGTGGGCGCAGCGGTGGCCCCGCGCAGCGCCCTGCCGTGGCTGCTTCTGGCGGCCCCCTCGCCCCATCGGAGCAGAGTTTTGGCCGCGGCCGCATCCGGGCTCCGCTGAGGCGGGAAAGAGCGGGAAATACGGGGTGTGAAAACGACCACAGCCACTGCTTTTCTTTTGTTGCCGCCTTCCAGCCCGCAGAAACAAGCAGTGGTTGTGGTTAGTTTCGTTGAGCTTGGCAGCAGGGACATGACCACAACCACTGCTTCTTTTTCGGCCGGCTGGAAGGCGGCGCAAACAAGAAGCAGCGGCTGTGGTCATTTTCCCGTCCCGCAGGAAAGGGTAGGAGGAGGGGGAGGAGGAGGACGTTCTGGTCGTGCTCCCTCTCCTCCCCAACGGGCTGCTTTCTGGGGTACTCCTATGTCCATGAGGGCACGTCGTCGTGTTCCATTTCTCCCTGCCTTTTTTCCCGCACTTGTTAGCCCTCTTTTTTGTTGGCCACGGCGCATAAGCCGTTTTCATTTACCATACCGTTTGTTAAGACCCATCCAGTCTCACGATCCCAGTCGATCGCAGTTTGCTTGATGTCAAAAAGGCGGAGGCTTGAGGTGGTGGAGGATGAGGACCTTACCCCAGGCGGCGCAGCGGCGGTTGCCCCCAGGCGAGTTCGAAATGCAGTTCATCGAGTGCAACCGCAGGCCGCAGGTCGAGAACGAGGCCCGCTGCAGCCGCCCCGCCGTGGTGCTGGCCGCCGCCGTCGCCGAGGTCTTCGCCGCCGTCGTGGTCGCCACCGTCGTGGACGCCGCTCGCCGTTCGCCTTCCGTCGTCGTTCGCCCTCGCCGACGTCGACGACGTCGACGTCGCCGTGGTCTTCGCCGCCGTCGTGGACGCCGCTCACCGTGTGTCGTCGATCGCCTTCGCTCAAGGCCTCCCACATGGGGTTTGAGTCGACGGGGTCGTAGGATCGCGCCGCATCACCGACGCATCGCCGATGTGGCTCGATGCAACTCGCAGACGGAGCCGATGCATCACCGACACCGATGCATCGGCGATGCATTTGCGATGCGGCGCGATCCTCCGACCTCACCTACACGGGCACCATGTGAAAAGGCATCCATGCGCCGTCCTGGACAACTTCGTCGCCGTCGCCGTCGACGCCGCCGCCGCCGCTGTCGTCGTCGTCGTCGTCGTCGTCGTTGTCGTCGTCGTCGTCGTCGTCGTCGTGGTCGTCGTCGTGGTCGTCGTCGTGGTCGTTTGGTCGTTTGGTCGCTGTCGTCGTCGTCGGTCGTCGTCGGCGTCGTCGTGTTTGTTGGCGTCGTGGCCGCCGCCCGTCGTCGTTGGGTCATCGTCGTGCAGCGTCCACGGCTCGGTCGGGTCAGTGATGCCTGCTTGTTTCTGTGCGTGCCGGCGGCGCACATGAGGGGGTGTCGAAAGGGGGAGCGGCCTTCTCGGAAGGCGGAGGCCTTCTTCGAGGGGCCCCGAGGCTCCCAAGCAAGGCTTCTCACCAAGCCAGGGGAAGCCAGGAGGGCGCCTGAGAAGCGACTGGCCTCCTCGGAAGCCTCCCCCGCCTTCGTAGAAGGTCCCCTTTGCGCCACCCCCGTGCGTGCTCCGCCAGATCTTGCATCGATCGTTTCGGTGAATTTTGTCCCCGACTGAGCGATTCCCCCTCGACCACGGCGGGCGTTCGATTTGTCTTTCGTCCAGTACGCGATGTATTGACAGCCTGTCGACGGGCGTGGAAGGATGAGGAGAACGGGGAGGCGTGTCCAGCGTTGAGCTAGCCGGAGAGCTGAGGTGGTCCAGGGAAGTGGGGGAGGAGACAAAAAACCCAGAAAATCTGGGAAGATGTGGGGAATCTTTGTGTCTGTGTGCATATCTTTGTGTGTCCTGGGGCCCCTTCCGTTTTGAGGCCGGGGGTGCGGAGCCGATCCCGGATCGCGCCGAGGGTCGTCCTCTGGTCGGGGGCGGCAAAGAGGGGGGTGATGACTAGGGGGGGGGGTGGATATCATGGCTGGGGCCATGATATCTCCGCAGATTTCACGGCGCCCCTTCTCATCTCATCACGTCCCTGGCCCCCCCCCGCTGGGCCGCGCACATGCCGCCGGTCATGATTTGCACCCCCGCCTCTTGGACACCCCCCTCTTGGCCGCTCCCGACCACTGCGATCTCACGCCCCAAGCTGCGATCCAGGGTGTGCGCCCGACGGCTGGAGCCCCCGGTCGAGTTTTCGCCCGCGTCCGCGGGGCGGGTCCTCTTCGGCGGCGCCGTGGCTGGTTTCTGCTCAGGGTGCCTGCGGGCGACTGGACATCGCTCGTGTACCTCGAATGCCTGTATCCCTCGGCCGCGGGGGCAACGCCGTCGGGAGGTCCGTAGGGTTTAAGGTTGCTCCTCCCTGCCCCCCCTCCTCGAGAAAGAGCGCGGGGACGAGAACGCAGTCACGACATGGACGGCTCCTCATCTCCTCCCTTCTCCAGCCACCAGAACTCCTTGCTTCTCTCTCTCTCTCTGTCCCTTCCCTCCATGCCCCCTCGCTGTCCTCAACCTCCTTGCCAGAGCGTGAATTACCTACCCTGCTTTCGCTTCCAGGCAAAACCAAGTCATACCATGCGCCTCCTCGTCAAGCGGCCTGACCAGTACATGCCGTAGTTTGGCATCGCTCGGCATCTCTTGGAAGCGAGAGTGGTCAAAAGCGAGGTAGGTTTGTTTGCCCCCTATGCTCCAGCGATTTTGCGAGGGATCGTGGCCCGAGGGAGCGCAGGTTCGTCTTGATACATGAGGGGCCACAGGGGGACAGCGATCCTGGGACCCTTCCTAGAGTAATAATGAAACGAATAATTGTAATACTAATAATACGAAGAGGAGGAGGAGGAGGAGGAGGAGGAGGAGGAGGAGAAGGAGGAGGTTTGCTTGCCCCCTATTTCCCCCCCCCTCTCTCTCTCCCCCCCCCCCGCCATGGCCGCCGGAGAGCGGCACGGGATGTGTGCCACTCGCCTCCTGTGATGGAGGGCGTCCATGCTGTCCAGGGCGTGCCCATCGGAGCAAGGTCAGGGCTCCTCGTCCTCCTCCCCATCCTCCATATCCTCCTCCTCCTTATCCTCCTCCTCATCCTCCTCCTTATCCTCCTCCTCCTCCCCTCTTCTCCTCCCCCTCCTCCTCCTCCTCCTCCTCCTGCTCCTCGTCCTCCCTCCCCTCCTCCTTCTCCTCCTCCTCCTCCTCCTCCTCCTGCTCCTCGTCCTCCCTCCTCCCTCATCCTGAACGGAGCTAACCTGCTGTGCTCTCCAGCCACGTGCTGATCCCTCCTCCGTGCCCTTTCCTCCCACTCAGCGCGTTCCAACACTACTTGCAAAGTGCCTACTCGCAAACAGACGTCCTCAACACGCATCCGCCTGCCCAGATGACACTTATCGTAGATCCCCCCGCGGCGGTTCCAGGCCATTTGCGAGCAGTTACCGCGCTCGTCCATCCTTCCTCCCTCTCTCATCATCCTCTCCGTCCCCTATCGCCCTCCTCCACCTCCCCCCCTGCCCGCCCCCGCCTCCGGACCCCCACTGCTGCTGCTCCTCCTCCCTCCCTGCCCCCCCTCGCCTGGCCCGCCCCGCCCCACCAGGCCTCGCCCTGCTGCAGAAGGGACGACCAGGGCGACCCCCCCCCCCCCCAGGATCGAGGATCCAGGATCCAGGATCCAGGATCAGGGATCCAGAATCCAGGATCCAGGATCCAGGATCCAGGATCCAGCATCGAACATCGAGCATCGAGCATCGAGCATCGCTGGGTCGAGGATCGAGACGCCAGGACCGAGCATCGACCATGGCGCCTCGAGGGTCGACCCCCTCCGCCCCCGACGACGCGGGCCGCCGGCCGCCGCCCCTCGCCCAGAGGGGGATGCGCTGGTGGCACGGGGGCGGCGGGGGCCAGGGCGGCCCCCGGCCCCAGAGGGGCACAGTCGGCCCGCATGCGTCGGGGACGGCAAAGAGGGGGGGGATGACTAGGGGGGGGTGGATCTCATGGCGGGGGGCATGGTACTTCCCCAGATTTTGTGGCGCCTCTTCTGATTTCATGACGTCCCAGGCCCCCCCCCATGGGCCGCGCACATGCCGCCGGTCATGATTTGCACCCCCCCCTCTTGGACATCTTCCTCTTGGCCGCTCCCGAGAACTGGCTCGCAGGCCTAGAGATTGACACCAACACCAACATCGGCGGTGTGCATCCACCGAGGGAAGAAGATGCCGATCTCGGTGGTGGTGGTAACATGCTGGATTCCAGGGTGACCGACGTGTTGCCACCAACACCGAAATCTAGGATCATCTCCCCCCTGTGGAGGCGACCCCCCGTGTTGGTGTTGGTGCTCATTCACAGGCCTCCAACTCGCGGTCGGAACGCCGCCTGTCGTTCAACGTGGAACGACCCACGCGATGTCAGAAAAACCAGCGCCGGGGTCGTCGCGACACGATCTTGCCGTAGCGCGCTGACTGTATGGCGCCCTGGCCGCAGCAGCAGCAGCACCACCAGCAGCAGCAGCAGCAGCATCGCCGAGACGTCCCCGCGAGTCTGGCTCGAGGCCGGCGCCCCAGTGTCGGACGGGGCCAGGACGAGGGCACATCCGTGCCAGAGCGTTCCGAAACGCTCCCTCAGAGCGTTCCGGCATGCTCTGAGAAGGCCGCGGCGCCCGAGACATCCTGCAGAGCCGCCAGATCTCAGAGATTAGATTTATCCTCACCCGAATTGCACGTTGGTCGTGGAAAGTATGTATTTACCTAACAGCGAAGACTGATAGGTTTCTAGTGGGATCAAAAGAGAGCAGCAGATCACTCCACAGGGGGGTCCGGGCAGGTGTTGGGAGTTGCCGGGCGGCAGGTGCCGGGCTCGTTTTTCACCAACAGTCACACACTTCGTGCTCTTCGACTTCCCAGAACTCCATTCCCAGGCCACATTCTGAATACCGGATGCAACAGTCACACACTTCGTGCTCTTCGAGATCCCAGAACGCCATTCCCGGGCCACATTTAGAATAAACCGGATGCAACAGTCACACACTTCGTGCTCTTCGACATCCCAGAACGCCATTCCCGGGCCACATTTAGAATAACCGGATGCAACAGTCACACACTCGTGCTCTTCGAGTTCCCAGAACTCCATTCCCGGGCCACATTTTGGATGCCCGGAGCCAACTGTAGGCCACTTCGTGCTCTTCGAGTTCCCAGAACTCCATTCCCGGGCCACATTTTGAATGCCCGGAGCCAACTGTAGGCCACTTCGTGCTCTTCGAGTTCCCAGAACTCCATTCCCGGGCCACATTTTGAATGCCCGTAGCCAACTGTAGGCAACTTCGTGCTCTTCGACTTCCCAGAACTCCCATTCCTGGGCCACATTTTCAGCAGGGGCAAGAGCACGACGAGGAGGAGGACGAGCAAGACCAGGAGGACGAGGACGAGCAGGAGCAGGACGAGGAGCAGGAGGAGCAGGAGAAGAAGGACGAGCAGGAGGAGGAGGAGGACGAGCAGGAGGAGGAGGACGACCAGGAGGAGGAGGACGACCAGGAAGAGGAGGAGGAGGAGGAGGAGGAGGAGGGGAGGGGGAGGAGTACCAGGAGGAGGAGGAGGAGGAGGAGGAGGAGGAGGAGGAGGAGGAAGAGGAGGAGGAGGAGGAGGAGGACGAGGACGAGGAGGAGGAGGAGGGGGGGGGAGAGTACCAGGAGGAGGAGAACGAGGACCACCAGGAGGAGGAGGAGGAGGAGGAGGAGGAGGAGGAGGAGGAGAGAACACCAGGAGGAGGAGGACGAGCAAGACGAGGAGGACGAGAACGAGGACGACCAGGAAGAGGAGGAGGAGGAGGAGGAGGGGAGGGGGAGGACTACCAGGAGGAGGAGGAGGAGGAGGAGGAGGAGGAAGGAGGAGGAGGAGGACGAGGAGGAGGAGGAGGAGGACGAGGAGGAGGAGGGGGGGGGAGAGCACCAGGAGGAGGAGAACGAGGACCACCAGGAGGAGGAGGAGGAGGAGGAGGAGGAGGAGGAGGAGGAGAGAGCACCAGGAGGAGGAGGACGAGCAAGACGAGGAGGACGAGAACGAGGACGAGCAGGAGGAAGAGGAGGAGGAGGAGGAGGAGGAGGAGGAGGAGCAGGAGCAGGAGAAAGAGGAGGAGGAGGAGGAGGAGGCAGGCTGAGGCTGAGGCTGTGACTGCGACTGCCGTTGCCGCTGCGACTGTCATCGCGAATGCGACTACGATTGCGAGAACAGCAGAATTCGACAACTGGATTTTCATCTGAATCTTAAGGGGAATGCTTTCAGATATGCTTCTACACATCGCTGTTAGGTTGCTTTGCCGGGATAATTTTGGGATTCACAGATCCCAATCTACTCCTAGCGCCTTCCTACTTCAAGAAAACCGATATGCTTTTGCTGTGTTTCGTTATTCGTAAGGGCTTCGCCCCCTGCCGTTGGCCCCCTCTCTATCATGATGATAAATCAGAGTCGCGTCGGTGGGTCTCGGTGTTGCCTTGGCGCATCTGGGAACATCATGCCGGGGCGGATAGGAATCATCAGCGCGTATTGAGACGTGAGCGTTATCCGAGTGGCTTTCGGCCCATCCCGCCACCGTGCCTGAGTTGTGGGTCTGAGGCCTGTTGTATATGTGATGGGGTATCGTGGGGAGCCCCATTGGCCCAGGAGGGTCTCTTGGAGGCGGTTTGGGCACCTCTTGGGGGCCTCTTGGGACCTCGTGGGGTAACCTTTGGGTCTATTGGAGGTCCCTTGAGCGCCTCTTGGGGCCTCTTGAGACCTCTATGCGGCCTCTTGCGGCCTCTTGGGGTACAAATATCGCATGTTCGGTTCGTGGTACCCTGCTCGGGCCCCTCTTGGGCAGTCTCGGAGCCCTTTTGGCCCGTCTTGAGCGCTTCTTGGGCCATCTTGGAGCCCTGTTGGGCCGCCGTTGGGCCCTCTTTGAGGCGTCTTGGGCTGTCTTGGGGCGGTCTTGGGAGCTTCTTGAGCCGTCTTGGAGCGTCGGAGAGCCGAAAATGCGAGAAAGCCAACATCCTTCAATAACCTTAGTAAAATCTACGACTGTGGCCTCTTGGGGCTCTCTCGGAAACCCTCTTGGAGCGCTCTTGGGGCTCTTTGGGCCCCCTTGGGCCGTCTTGGAACCATCTTTGGGCGCCTTGGGACACTCTAGGCCTCGGCAATGCGAATACGGCATACTTTGCGACGGTTTATGGCTTCGGGGACGCGAACACCGCGTAATTTACGAGGGTCTGTCGCCTCGGGGACGCAACAAGTTGTTAATTTACGAGTGTGTATGGCCTCGGGGACGCGAACATGGCGTAATTTACAAAAAAAAAAAAAACATGGCCTCGGGGGCGCGAATTATGTATTCTTACGTGTCCCACGTTCCCCCATGAATTCAGAGAACGCGATCCGGGCGTGGTAACGGGCGGGGTCCTTCGGGGGTTCCCCCCCGCGCGGACAGTAACAATTTACAGTAGGAATCAGAAAGTGAAACTATCACAGTGGGGACTGGAACCTGCAGCTGGAGCAGGGAGCAGCAAGCCTGAGCCTCGCAGCCTGATGGCCCCGCAACGGGGCAGGCGGATTCTTTGCGAGGGCCTGATTCCTACTTCATGCGTCGTCGTCTTCATCCATCGTCATCTTCAGGTATGGCGTTTGTTCACGCCCGCGTGCTTCGGGTGCTTCGTGTGGCGTTTGGCCACACCTCTGTGCTTCGAGCGTCTCGAGTGACGTCCGGTCACCTGCATTTCTCCTGCCAGCGCGTCCACCTGGACGCAAGGCTTCTGTCTGTCTGTCTGGCCTACTTCATGATTTTATCGACTTCTTCCTCTGGCGTGTGCCGGGGGCGGAAAAGAGGGGGGTGATAACTAGGGTGGGGTGGACATCATGGCGCAGGCCATGATATCTCCGCAGATTTCATGGCGCCTCTTCTTATTTCATTACGTCCCAGGCCCCCCCGCTGGGCCGCGCACATGCCGCCGGTCATGATTTGCACCCCCCCTCTTGGACACCCCCCTCTTGGCCGCTCCCGAGTGTGTCCTCGTCCTGGCTTCGTCTTCCGGCGGGAGGCGCGACCGCGCGCGGCCTCGGGCCCCCCTCTGCGCCGGGCCATGGCCGACGCGCCGGCCCCCTCCCGCTCCCGCTGGTTCACGGAGACGAAGGCGGGGCTGCTCCTCACTTCTGCCTCCTCCTCCTCCTCCTCCTCCTCCTCCTCTTCCTCCTCTTCCTCCTCCTCCTCCTCTCCTCCTCTCCTCCTTCCACCTCCACCTCCACTCCCTCCTCCTCTCCTCCTCCTCCACCTCCTCCTCCTCCTCCTCCCTCCTCCTCCTCCTCCTCCTCCTCCTCCTCCTCCTCCTCCTCCTTCCGCCTCCTCCTCCTCCCCCTCCTCCTCCCCTCCTCCTCTCCTCCTCTCCTCCTCCTACTCCTCTCTCCTCCTCCTCCTCCTCCTCCTCCTCCTCCTGCTCCTCTCCTCCCTCCCTCCCTCCTCCCTCCCTCCCTCCTCCTCGTCCTCCTCCTCCCTCCTCCCTCTCCTCCTCCTCCTCCTCCTCCCTTCTCCTCCTCCACCCTCCTCCTCCTCCTCCTCTCCTTCCTCCTCCCCCTCCTCCTCCTCCTCCTCTTCCTCCTCCTCCTCCTCCTCCTCCTCCTCCTCCTCCTCCTCCTCTCCTCCCTCTCCTCCTCCTCCTCCTCTTCTTCTCCTCCTCCTCTCCTCCTCCTCTCCTCCTCCTTCTGCTCCTCCTCCTACTCCTCCTCTTCCTCCTCCTCCTCCTCCTCCTCCTCCTGCTCCTCCTCCTCCTCCCTCCCTCCCTCCCTCCCCCTCCTCCCTCCTCCCTCCTCCGTCGCCCTCCCTCCTTCTTCCTCCCACATCCTCCTCCCTGCTCCTCCCTCCTCCTCTTTCTCCTCCCTCCTCCTCCCTCCTCCCTCGTCCTCCTCCCTGCTCATCCCTCCCCTTCCTCACTCCTCCCTGTCACACCCCGAGGCCGGTCGAAAGGGCGGACCGGGCGTTTCGCCTGAGGTTTCCTCAGCACGAATGACCCTGATGCTAAACAGTTGACGACGACAGTTTCACAGATGGAGCGGGTCGTTTTCAAAATGTGGATCTCGCCTTGGTGCCGCGCACATTCGTTTTGAACATCTGCAACAGCTTCACGGATTGAGGGCGGATGGTTTTCGAAATGTTGGCTCTCTCGCCTTAACGCCGCGCTCTTTTGTTCTTTGTGGAAACAGTTACAAGAGCTACGCGGATCGAGGGCGGTTCCTTTCCAAAAAATGATTATTGCCTCAGCGTCGCGCACGTTCGTTTTAAGCTTTGCAAGAGTTTCATGGATTGCTGGAGGTTCTTTTTCAAAATGCAGTTCTCGCCTCAGCGCCGCGCACACTCTTTGTTTCAACACTTGCAAGAGTTACAATCATTCTCATGGTTCACAGAATTATGTTGGAGCGATTCAGGATTCGCAGGGCGCAACAGTTACGTTGATTCGTGGTGTTGAAGTCCCAGGAATGGTGCTCTGGCAAGGTTCATGATCGCCAAGACGTAACAGTCAGGTTAATGCGTGGCGGCGCAGTCTTGATAATGGTGTTTTGGCACGCATCAAGATGTTCTCACGGCTGTGCCCCAACGGGGCTATTCCGTCAGTGGAAATTGTTTTTATGGGCCTATGGAGATGGATCTTGGAGAGGGATCCCTCCTCCTCCCTGCTTCATCTTCCCTCCTTCCTCCTTCATCCTCCCTCCTCCCTCCTTGATGCTACCTCCTCCTCCATTTCTTTTGAACAACCTCTCCCTGTCGCACCCCGAGGCCAGCTTGTAGGGTGGGCCGGGCGTTTCGCCTGACACTTCCTCATAATTTATGACCCTGCAGCTTACACATCAGCAACAGTCTCACAGATCGAGGGCGGACCGTTTTCAAACTGTGGCTCTCGCCTTAGCGCCGCGCGCATTCGTTTTAAACAATTGAAAGAGTTTCACGGATTGAGGGCGACCATTCTGAACATGTGGTTCTCGCTTTAGCGCCGCGCTTATTCGTTTTCTATCAAAACATGCAAGAACTTCACGGATTAAGGGCGGGTCTATGAGGGCAATTCTGGATTGGCGGCACAACAGTTCCCAGTTTGGCCGTTGGTTCTCTATCGGCCACGTTGCGGGGACAGAGACTGAACAAAATGGGGTCCCCCCCTTGCGTTGAAGAGCTAGCCGTCCGACTTCACCGTCTCCGTTTCTGCCACTGCTGGATTCTCCTCCGAACATGTGTCGTTCCAGGTGTCTTGCCTTCTAGCGAGGCTCCTGAGCAGTTTGAGGGCCTCTGGAGGCTGGATGGGCAATGGCTCCATCAAGTGTGGTGGCACGGGAAGTCGGTATCGTATTCTCAATCTTGTGTTCATTGAGCTCGCTGGTATCGGTTCGGGAGCGGACCATTTTCGCGCTCAGAGCGAACGGGCCTTGAGCCAATTGTTACGGACAGTTTGTGTCCGCAGGCGGGGCTGGCGTGGCCACCACCTCCGCCTCGAGCAGCCCGCATTCTGGTTGAAAATTGGGCCCCAAACGCTGCATGCCTGAGGTGATCCAGGGGGTGGCGTTGCCACCACCTCCCGGGCAGCACCGAGTCCGTAACGCGATGCAGGTCTGAAGTGGACACTTTCGTGTGCGACCTAATGCCAGGAAAAACTGTCATCTCAAGCTCGCCGTGGAAACCGACCTACGCTGAAAACCCCATCCGCTATCGTTTGGCTGGTTTTGCTGGGGTCCCTGGGGCACCGAGCTACCCCAACAGCCAACTCTCCGTGGCAATATAAAAATATTGCCGGCCGAGGGCGGAGCGACCTGAAGACCGAACGTGTAATTCATGCAGCGTGCACTCATATATATATATATATATATGTGTATATGTGTATATATATATATATACATACACATATATATATATATGTGTATATGAACACGTTTACGGTCAATGCGTGTGGGCAAAGAGGTAATGAGCGAACGTTGGCCGCATCATAATGCATGGCAGCCTTTGTGGATCAGGGCCTCGGAAGGCCTGGGATGCTCCCTGCTTGCGCCACCGCGCGCTCCGCCGCCCCGCGGGCCCAGCGGCCTCGGATCTGCGGCTGGTGCGCTGGGCGCCTCGCCGAGGGCGAGAGTTTGGCCCTCGCGGAGGGCGGCACGCTCTTGGAGGTGTGCGAGTTGTGTTACCTCCTCGCGCTGGCGCGCCAGGGGGCGCGCTAGGCGCGGCTGGCGCCGCAGGAGCGGGCGCTGCTCGTCGAGCGGGCGCGGCTGCTGGCGGCGCAGATCACGGCGCTGTCGACCTTGTCGCCTGATGCCGCCTAAGGCCAAGGGCAAGGCCAAGGCCAAGGCCAAAGGCAAGGCGAAGGCGAAGGCTCTTCCTGCGCCTCTCGCTGCCGCCCGCGGGCGAGGCGCTGGACGTGGCGGAGGACGGCGCGCTCGCGGGCGCGTTGGCGCGGCTGCTGGAGCGTCAGGGGCGCCCGTCGGCCTCGGAGGCGGCCTCTCGCCCGCAACTGGAAGTGCAGCTGGCGGAGGCGCTGGAGGCGGCGCTGCTGGGGCGCCAGTGGTGCCAGGGCTCGGCGGCTTCCCTGGCTTGCCTGGAGCCATTGGCGTGGGCGCCGCGGGCGCGCCCCCCCTGCCCTCGGGGCGCCTGGCGACGGCGCTGGGGCGGCGGCGGCGGCGGCGTTGGGCGGCGCTGGTTGGCGCGCTGGCCGCTGCAGGCGTTGGCGGAGCTGGAGGCGCGGGCGCGCCGCCTGGCGCGGGGCCCGCGGGGCCGGGCGCTGCCCTCGGCGTGTTTGGAGGCGCGGTCGTCCCGGCTGCAGGGGTGCAGCTTGGCGGGCTCGTCGACGGAGCCTGGGCGCAGGCAGCCGCCCTCATCGGGGCCAACTGGAGCCAGGGCCTGGCCGTGGAGCTGCCGACCCACGACGCGGCGGGGGCGATCAGTGGGACCGCGCTGTTCGAGATCGACGAGGTCGGCGTGCCAGGTGCTGGAGGTCAGTATCTCAGCGCGCAGTTCAGGGGCGCGTCGTTGCCCGCCGAGGCGATGCGCTTTGACGGCGCCTTCCCTCCGCGCGGCGGCGGTCCTGCTGGGCTGCTGCACCTCTGCGCGCAGGGGCCTGCGCGGTGTGGCGAGCCTGCGCAGGCGGGCCGCGCCGTCCTGCACGTGGAGTGGCTGCGGCTGCGCTCGGCGCGCGGGCTGGTGGAGCCCTGGGTGCGCCCGAGCGTCTTCGGCGGCCGTGGTGGTGGAGCTGGTCGAGGCGGTCCCGCTCCCATCCCTGGCGGAGCCGCCTCCGACCGCCTGGCGGCGGCAGCAGCTGCCCGCGCGCTTGCGGTCGGAGGCGGTGGCGGCCGCGGCGTGACAGGCCGCGGCAGGCGTCGGGCTCGCAGTGAGTCTGGCAGTCGCAGCGATGGCGAAGGCGAGCCGCGTTTTCGCGATGCCCCCTCTCGCGGCGGCAGCTCACGGCTGCTGGCGGAGAGACAGCCTGGCGCCCTCTACGACGAGGCGATACAGAACATCGCCCGCGTCATGGGCCTGCGGGAGGGGGCGGACGGCTCCGAGACGAGGCCGAAGGTGGTCGGCTACTTGCAGGCCGTCGTGTTCGGTCACCACCCCGTATCCCAGCTGCGGGTCAACACGGTGCGCGAGCTCCAGACCTTGGCGACGGCGCTGGACCAGTTGGAGAGCGGCTCTCTGCCGCAGTTGAGCGACGTGCTGATGCAGAGGTTCAAGGCGCTGGAGTTCTCGCTGTCGGACGCGGGCTGGCAGGCTGCGAGCGAGCTCGAGATCGCCCCGGACGTGAGGCCGTCGCTGGCGTCGATGGACGAGCAGGATCTGGCGCGGCGCTCGGCGCTGCTGCGGAGGCGCTTGGAGGAGGCCAGGAGCCGCGGAGCCTTCGGGGCGCTCGGCCGCGGCCAGGGGCGCGGGTGACCCGAGGGGGGGCGGGGGGGGGGGGCGCGGGGGGACCAGCGGCCGCGCCCCCCCTCTCGAACCGCGCTTCAGCCAGCGCGGGAGCTCTCGCGCGGCAAAGGCAAGGGTCGAGGTCGCGGGCGGTTCCGCTATTTCCCGCTCCGAGGGAGCAGCCCCGCTCGCGCTCCAGGGTCGCCAGCGGCAGCGCCTCGGGCCGAGGAGGCGCCCGCCGCAGCGCCCTCAGGCCCCCGCGCGCGG